CCATTCACTAGGTACCTAATTTCTATGTAGAAACACAAGCAAGAGCAAATTCAGAAAAAGTAGTGCTTTATAAAGAGCTTTACAGAGATAAGTTTCAAAAAAATACTGTCCTCTGAACATTAGTTGAAAGGTAGCAGATCAAAATTAATCTAGTTGGACATATACTCATTTCTTTGGGGAGTAAAAAAGCCACCAGAACACTATATGAATGTATCATATTATGTACTTTTGTGCTTCAAAAAAACGTGATATTCTCTAGGACTGATATAATGTCAGCCAAGCAACTATTTAAAAGAACAAAGCGTTGCAAAGCAAATAAATGAAGAGTAGTATAAAACAATGGAAATAAAGCAAGCACAGAAGCTATTTCAAAGGTTAAATAATTTCTCCTAACTCAGAAAAAGGACAAACTTTTCATTAGAAAAGTACAGCAAGGGGAAATAAAAGTACAGCAAGCCAATTTGCAGTGACATAGCAGAAATAGGGGTAAACATTATAAAACAAAGTATGAAAGCTAACAAGAGAAAAATGAGTCTACAATAAAACTGCATAAGTCCATAGCATTAAAGAAAATGTAAGTACTAATGGGAGAATTTTTCAGATCTTTAAAAAGATTTCAGAGTAGAAACGCTGAATTACTATGAATATTTATTTTAAGTGATACCTCTCCTTAACAGAGAAGTACATTTTTAAAACTGGTAAGTAAATTATAATTCAAAGAATTGACAGTTTGAAAGACAAAGAAAATATAGAAAATTAATTTTTGTAATAGAAGCTTTTCATGTCTCAGAGAAGACAAACACTGCTAGGTTCTTCAAAATAAATTAATTTTCAATGCCCATATAACCAGGAATTGCATTCAGGGACTTTGTATGACTTGGAATATAAAAGAAAAAATTCTCAGAAGAAAGGTAATCTATAAGCCAATGAGCAAATAAAGAACTGTCATTCACATTAATGTCAAACTTTCAATACCATCACAAAACTTTCTAACTTGCTCTTTAGAGAAATTAAATGTCGTCTATGGCCTGCTAATAATCTCCATTTATTATAACTGGTTCTCCTGAATAAAGTGTTAACAGGAGGTAGTGTTAACACATTTTGTATATTTCTATTGTATCCATTAGGAAAATAATCTGATAACTGAATACCTAGAAATTTATTTTGGGCATATATTGAGAATATAATGAATTGTGTATTTGCTAAAATGCTGGATTTTTTCAAAGGAAGGAGAAGTAGTATCATGCAAAGATACAGAGAAATAAATCCCAAATAGACGAGAGGCACACAATTCCTCAGAAATAGCATTTAGCTTCCGGTATCTAGGAAGAAGGTAGAGGCAATGGCTTAAGTCCTCTCCTTGCCAGCCTCATATCCACCTATACTTCTAGATTACAAGATTCATCTTGCAGCACAACTCAAACATACTCCACTCAAGTGGCTACATGGCCAGCTTACAGCAACTGATCACTACATCTAGCTTTGCACTTTTATAAACAATCAAAATGTGAACCATCAACATAGGAGTTGTTGGCTGTCACTATAAACTTATTGGGGCTTACACTCACCAAAGCTTTAACGTTCTTAGCTATCTTACTTTTAAAAAAAAAAAAGCAATTCCAAAAGGAACTGCAAAGTAGTTGACATCATTAAACACAGAAAGGCCTTTCTGCTTTGATGGTAATTATGGATCCCACTAGTGTAAATATACTGAAAAAAAAGAAAAAGAGAACCCTATATTGTCTGACAAAATGTATAGCTTCCCTGCATCTGTTCTAATTATTACAAACTGACAATCCTATCATAAGGTTCCTCTTACTTTGAAAGTTTCTTTCTAAAGTAGTATATGGGGGGCTGGTGTTGTGGTAAGGCAGGTAAAGGCATCACCTGCGACACTGGCATCCCATATGGGCACCAGTTGGTGTTCTGACTTCTCCACTTCCATTCCAGTTCCATGCTACTGGCCTAGAAAACAGAAAAAAAGATGGCCCAAGTGTTTTGGGCCCCTGCTACTCACATGGGAAACTGGGATGAAGCTCCTGGGTCTGGCTACTTCCTGGCCCAGCCCAGGCCATTGAGGCCATCTTGGGGAGTGAACCAGGAGATGGAAGATTCTCTCTCTTTCTCTCTGTAACTCTGACTTCTAAATAAATTAATTAACTTCTTAAAAAAGGAATATGACCGCCTCATTCTCTCCTAAAGTGTTTAACTTTAATAATTCTTTCATGTCTACAGAACTCTTTCATTTTATTGATTCATCATGATACTAATGGCATTTCATTTTGAGGTCTAAAATATCCTTCTTAGTGACCAAAAGGTGAATGCATATTTGAGGGATAATGCGCATTATATTTTTCAAGCAATATAACCCATCGAATAACAGTGACATAACTCTGGACTCTGACCTCACCTTGAGGTTTTCACTCTGTATTCACCTGCTTGCAATCTAAAACTGAAAGAACCAAAACATTTGGTCTTAACCACGTGTCTGTATTCTCAACATAAACTTAATTATCAAATAGTAGTGACCAAAGATATGCACTGTTGAAACCACAAGCTAAAGAGATGTAGACTCGGCCATCTCCAGACATTATGCACTTTCCCTGCAAGCCCAACATCATGGTCCCTCAGGCCTACTCAGACAGCTGTCCAATGTCCACCTCAAGTCTTCCTCCAAATGATCATTTCCTTACTAGTTTCCTAAACTAGAAGTCAAACTCCAATCAGCAAAGCCCTTGCTTTCACCTTACTCAAAACTAGTTTCCAATCTCCTTTGAGCAAAGGCACTTCTATTGCCATTTTTTATTGTCCAAGGGGGCAATTTGTTAATGCCCTTTTCTTGACCACACTCGCACAATTATGACATCTACCCAAAAAGCCTACCTCTAAGAATTGTAACAAATATCAGCATTTTTTTGTCATCTTGTTTTATAAATTTAGAAGGCAGCCATGCTTGTGGTCTGTTCACAATGGCATGTCGACGTCTTCCAAAGGAAAGTCAAGTTACGTTACACAAAGTGGTCGGCCTCCGCGTTCTGCAGCATCTATTAAACAAATAGCTGGCCCGTGCGTGCCCGCATTCATACAGCACACGCATGTCACTGGATGTCCTTTCTCCTCCACACGCGCTCCTGTAGTTAAAAGCACAGCTTTCTGGCAGATTCTGGCCCCCTCCCCAGCCCACCTCCCCCTGGAGCAGTTGCTTAGAGCCCCCCAACCTCCCCCGCCAAAAAAAGCCACTTTTCCCAAAAGCAAGGAGCTGGCGAGCAGGGGAAGCCGCTGCACCCGCAGCTGTCACCACGGAGCGCCGTCGCGCATGCGCGGCGCGAGCAGCTCGGCCCCCAGCGCCGCAGGTGACCCGCAGGGGGGCTCCGGGACTCGCACGTTTGACAAGAGATGCGCTGTGAAAGCTGATTCGAAGCCCCAGCTGGTTGGACTTTCAATCCATCCCATTTGTAAAGAAATCTTTGGGCCCGTAAAACACGCAAAATTGAGCTTGCACTCCGCATTCACAACAGACAAAGGGGAGGAGAGGCCAGTGAACAGTACCTTTCTCCCTGTCCCCGGACTGCATGATCTGTCACTCACCGGATTGGAGGATCGTGCGAATGTGATCCCTCGAACTCTGTAGATGAATATGAGAAAAAACTGCACAAAA